CGTGGCGAGTGAAAGTTTTATTTTGTAACTGGCCTCGTTGTCTCCGGAGGTTGCTTGCTTTTGTCGCCCTCCAACCCCCCGTCTGTGTTGTTTTTGCTCCCTCTCTCCCCCCCGTGCCCGCTGTCCATCGATTTGTGCACGACATGTACCACCGTTGAAAAGTCATTCTCTTGGCGCAGCATCCACACGGCAACTGGGTGTACGACCTCGACTCGACGCTGGACTTTCCAAGCCCAGCATCGCTGTACATGACGCAGGCGTTCCGGAAACAAATGAACATCGACCAGCAATATAGGCAGTGAGTTATTGTTGCTGATGTTGTTGATTATGCCGCTGCCGTCTCCTCCATGCAAGCGTTCTGCTAGCACCCTCTCTTTATTGACGAGTTGGACGTTGCGCTGTGCCACGTGAAGACATCGTTGCCCGCCCAAGATAAATGAGCAAGAGGCTCTGAAACGGTGCGACATGACCGTTTACAGCGGTCGACATGTCTCCCTTGACTATAAGAGAGGCATTATCCACACGTACCATCGGTAAATATGATGAGAAGATCAAACGCCGTCGACGTCCAACGTAGGTATCGATTGGATGACAACTCTAGAGTTTTTGGTTTTTTGACAATGCCAAGAAACAAGACGACGTTTTCGCTCGGCGGAATTGCCAACTAGTACGAGCAGCAGGGTCGTTGCAGCAAGTGTATGCTGTACTTGTAACGGCAGAACTTGTATCGACGAACACCTCTGTACTTGCGCAGGCATGCCTTCGCGGGACCTCGGTTTTGGCTAACGCTGAAAACGCCGCCCAAATGCGGATGCCGGCGGCGACTTGTAGATTGCAGTACCTCCAGAGGTACTTGGAAGAAGAATGCCGACCGTGATTACTTTCGTATGCATGTACATGCACAAGAACTTCTCGAATGAAAGCAGTTCACACACCCACGTACTTGTGGCCCGAGCATTCCTTCAAAATTGGTTGGAAACAGGGCGCTCCGGTAGCCGTTCAGACTGTTACGCGCACCAAGGTCAAGAAACCCTTTGGTGCGTGTTTCGCAGAAACGACGAAAAAGCATATGCCCCCGCCTCACAAGACACAGCAGACAGACTACGCGCGATTCAACCTCTCCGCCCACCACCAATGTTGCACGCAGGATGTTCCGGGTTGTTGCGGCGCGGGAGTGCGTGGACCACTTTTCATCGGACAGGTCGCACATGATTGAAGCGGGTGGAGCGTACAGCGCCCAGCCCCCAGGTTTTCCTCCGCTGCGGTGAGTCTTTTGTTTGTTTTAGGGGTAGGCGGGACGGGAGAGGGATACAGAGAGAACCCAGAGGGCCAGCCAGCCTCACAGCGGGGGCAATCAGCGGGCAATCGTCTCTAGACCGGCCATGTGTACGTTCTCCACGCGGAGATGTTCCCATTCTCAAGAGCGGTTCGTATTAATAGTACGAGACGAGCCTCTTCCTGAGTTGCCTGGTTGCTGCGACGCGTTCCTACCTCAACGATGCCTGGAAGAGGATGCCGGCCGCAGGTTCCCACGTACTTGTGTGCAAATGTGTGCCGCGGTTTTCCTCGCCTCGAAAGTGATCTCGTTGATCCTTCGCGGAACGAGCGGAGCTTGGTCCCGCCGCTTCTGTTGGTTTTTTTTTTGCCGTCGTCTCCCGTCCCCCTCATCAATGGCCAACACTTACTCCCGGCTGCAAACGTCGATCTCTGTAAGAGTGCTTGATATGGCGCCCTGGTCCAGATCGTTCAATTGAAACACTGAGTTCTTTGTCTCATTTTCAAAGGATCCTCTCTGCAAAAAAGTCCCGATATTTTTCCGCGGTAATTGCGCCCACAGCTGGTCTCCACGATTGCCTACCCTATCGACGTGTACGGCGAATTTTGTCAGCGAGTTTGGCATGCAACATTTTCTTTTTTCACGTGTCCATGCTTCCCGTTCAAGCCCACAATGCGCCCGTGCTCGTGGGTTTAAGGTCATGTCGTACGTGGGAAACTTATGACGTACGCTCTTCAAGGCCTCCGTTGTTTTTGTGCGGTTAAAACAAACGTGTTGGAAAATGGTCAAGAACATACTTCTGCTGGGTGTTTTGTGACGAAGCAGGGGTCCGCGGGCGACGAGTAGCAACAACATGAACGAGTGGATTAACATGGATGCTACCACCGGCCGAGGGAGGGTACTGAACCTTGAAGACATGGAGGCGTTCGTGGCGCGTGGTCCTCATCGCTTCACATAGCCAACGCGAATCTCATCGTGTTAGAGGAGGCCAGACTCAAGAGGCGGAGGGACGCGCGTCTCAGCTTTTGGCAGGCTAGGCTGACCTGTGAGACGCTGCCCTTGCTGTTTTCGGTTTTGAAAGGCGCAAGGAGCAATTTTGAACTTGTCGGTTCCAACGCGTTACGAGTGTCTCGCTCGTACGAGACGAGATGTTTTTGTCGAATTGGGCAATGTTTGTAGAGGTAACGGTTTAACTAGTACCGCGCAGGCTTGACCGATTCCTACCTGGATGGACCGGGCCTGACCGCGTGAAAATTATTTTGTTTCTATTATTTTCTTGCTGCGATCCGCACCGTTGTGTAGTGGTCGGGCGGACCAAACGAAACGACGATACGGTGCACGATGGCTTGCTAAGTGTAGGTTTTACTGGGTTCCCACCTGTTCCTTATTTCCCGTGTCTTGTTGTTGTCACGGGTTCGTTTCCTACTTGCCGTGTGCGTTTGCTTGCGACTAGTGTTTGGCAACGTTGGCGAGGCCACAGCAACGAGCTGCCACTTCGGTTGACTTTCGTCCTGCATTGATTGGTGCACAAGACGAAATTTTGCGTTATCTTGGCCGAAATGATTAGGCTTGTCGCGGGTACGGGCGTGGGGGCCTTGTTGAAGCGGGGGATGTTCTGACTGTAGGCATCAATTTTTCTGCGGGCGTGGTGCTTGGATCAAGCGGGTTTTGCTGCAGCCGCGACTTCGCTGGACGCGGTGGGGCACAGCAGGGTGTTTTTTTTTTGTAACGGCTTTCTCTCTCTCTGCCGCTGCCGTCCTGGCGCCACACAAGTCGAAAATTTCGTTTTATCGGATGGATTGAGCGGATGAAAGGACGGTAGGTGCTAAATGTAGTCCTTTAGGTTCCCGTGGTCCACGGCGGCATCACAGTCGGTTCGTTTCTCTCCGCCGGCCGGATGTCTCCTCTTGTTGAATAACGTTTATTTTGTTGTCTGCGTGGTTGGCGATAGCAGCCTCCGGGTGCCGCATACAGCGACCGGTCTCTCCGATCGGTGTGCGCCCTCCTCCAAGGTCAATTGCGCCTGGAAAAGGGTGCACCTCGCATGGGGGCGGGGGCGGGGCGGTGGCACGAAGAAGGCGGTTTTGACCCCCTAATGTTACCCGCAAAAGCTACCACTCGAAGAAAACGAAGGGGTATCAAATAAATCAATTCTTGCGACGTACAGAGTAGACACGTAGACGTGTGAGAGGGGTGGGGAAGGTTGTTAAGTTCCGAATGACCAGAAAAGGTATTCGGCGTCTGCCTTTTTTTTCTCGCCGTCATTTCGACGCGTGTGCGTGAATTGCGCCCACCAGGGTTTTCGTTTTCGTTGCGGCTGCAGTGAAGTCGGGGCAAGCCGTGACCTAGATTTTGACAGGTGTGTGCTCAAAGATCGGTTCACCCCCGATTGGTAAGTTAGTACGTTGGTGAAGTTTTACTCGATGGTTGACGGGAGTCCTGCGGTAGACGAATTGCACAAGGGGGGGCAAGGTGAGGGGGGCGACTGCGCCCTCCCCCTCCACCCCCCGTTATCACTGCTGTTGTGTATTTATCCTGGGGCGTTTGTCGTTTACACCGCCGATTGAGCTGAAGGTGCCATAATTTTGTTGAATGCGGGGGTCACCCTTCATTTGTTAGTTCTCTTGTTCGCGTAGAGCGTGTTGATCCGCTGAGGGGCTCTCTTTCTTGTGCTAGCTGTTTGCGGTTATGCTGCGTGTCAAGGATGAATCGAAGTGTTCCGGGTCCTCTTTTTTTCTCTCTTCATGTGGGCACCACCATCCTGTGGTTCACGATGGGATCAAAGTACTAGTGAGTGCTGCTACATACAGTACGACGATCGACCGGTAAACCCGTCGGTTTCCTCTTGCTTGTCTCTCTTCTCTCAACGCATATGGATGGATAGGTGAAGCACACATCAACCTTTGATTCACTGTACAATAGAGTAATGAATGTTGGCAACGAGTTTTGCCTGAATTTCCATAAAAAACAAATGACAATACTGAATATCCAGGACCAGCCGGTTTCCCTCCACTCACTGCGAAGACTCCAACACACATACATCCCGTTCGACCGTGGTTATACACACAGCAGTATCTCGAACGGGTAGTCTTTCTGTGTTTGTATTATATTGAATTTTTCCTTTCCCATTATGTAGCAAGGCGGGGGAACACAGTGACCCGTGTCCCTTGCGCTTGTTTTCTTTTTTTTTATAACTCTTCTAATCTGAGATCAAACACGTATGACGCCATTCGAACAGCAGGTGAAAATACAAAGTTTTTGGTCTGCAAATACAACAAGCTGTAGGTCAGAAGAGGAACCAGATCGGGGGGGTGGGGGTGGGGGACGTACTCTTATGTTTTGCATGCCTTAGCGGTTAGACCATTGACCACGCGTCCTCGAGAGGACGGAGCATTGTTCCCACAGGACCGATCACCGATGGCCAATCGTTCCTTCCTACTTTGCCAAAGGTGGCTCAAAAATGTCTTCCCTAGTCTGCCTATCCTAACGATATCCCGTCCCGCCTTTTCAAACCACTTCCTACTCCCCAGTACAGCTACCGTCCTCGCCTCTCTATTCCATGCCTCAAACATCTCCCTGTACGTCCCTTGTATTTTTCCCAGCTCAGTCATGTACACTTCCCTCTCCTCTTTGTACAACTGACATTCCGCGACTACATGGACACGGTCTTCGCATTCGAAGCCGAAATCACATTTGAACTTGTCGTCTTCGTCGTCTACCGTATTATGTCTTCGTCGACGTTCTCGAACGCCTATGTTCCCCGTCCTCACTTTGACCTTAAGCTTTGTTCCTGCATCCATTGGTCAATGTAGGTAATCCTTGAACCCTATTCCTTCTTTCAACATGCCGTACGCTTCTAGACCCTCCTTATCCTTGGTTTCTTTCCTTAGATTATGTTCTTCTCTCTCGGCACAAGCAACAGATATCTTCTCCTTGAACCCCTGCAGACCCTTCGTTTCCAGCGTTTCATCTTCGTCGATGTCTAACCCCTTCCATACGTCCTCTACAACCTTGATCCATTCCGTGGGTTGTCTACCCCTCTTTTTGTCGCCTCCCATACTATTCTCGGCAACCTCTCCTCTCCCATCCCGCACATGCGATACTGCCATGTCAGCTTCCTTGCGTCTCTTCCCGACCGTAGGGATTGGATCCCCAATTCTGCCCTGACGGCTGCATTATTAGTATTAGTGCGCTTGGAGCATCCTAGGATGATTTTCGCTGCTTTCATCTGCGCCGCCTCGAGTTCTTTCACTACCTTCTTATTTCCTTCCCATACTTCTCCGGCGTACTCTAGGGGCGGTACGATTACGCTCTTCAAAACCGTCAATTTGATGCGTGTATCGAGGTGCCGGTTTGCGAGTACTGAGTGCAGCTTCCCTGCTCGTGCTTTGCCCTTTTCCGCTACCTTGGACATGTGTGCATTCCACGGGCAGTCTTTTAAAATCTCTACTACGAGGTATGTGTACTGGTCCACTACTGCAATCTCCTCGATCGCCCACTTCCATCTATGTTCTACTGGTTCCTCCCTGACCTCGTTGCATACCATGACGGCACTCTTCTTAACGTTGGCAGACAATCTCCACTTATCAGTAAACTTCTTCGCCGCGTGAAGTTGTAGTTGGAGTGTCCCTCAGGGGTGTCTGACATACCAACAAAATCATCCGCAAACAGCATTCCTGACACCGAAGTTTCAGTGTCCCCTACTTTTACTCCCTTCCGGACTGCCTCTACGACTTCCAACAGGTCGTTGATGAACACCTGGAACAACGTTGGGGACAGCGTTCAACCTTGTGGGACCCCCTGTTCAATGTCGAAGAATTTAGACAGTTCTCCGTCTAGCATGACCGCGCTTTTCGTACACTCTGTCATCTCCTTCAGCACTCTCCACATCTTCCCCTTGATCCCGTACTTGGACAAATGTTTCCACAGCCCATTTCTCCATACGGTATCGTATGCCTTTTTCACGTCCAGGAAGAAGCAGTACTTCGGCTTTCCCGCCCTCTTTCTACCTTGGATGATTCTCCCTACCGTGAATGCGTGGCCTACGCACCCCCTCTTCTTTCGGAAACCTGCCTGGCCCTCACTAATGCTACGTTCCTTCTCCAATACTCCCACTATCCTATCGTTCAGCAACTTACAAAACACTTTTCCTACTGTGTTCAACAGTGTGATACCCCTGTAGTTTCCTGGGTCAGTCTTGTCTCCTTTCTCAAACAAAGTTCACAACCACTCCTTCCCTTCATCTACTTGGCGCATACTCGTTTTTCCACACCCAGTTGTACAGCAGTACCATCAGCTGGATCATCCCCTTCCCCCCAAACTTCATGAACTCGTTGACTATCCCATCCGCCCCTGCTGCTTTGTGGCACTGCAGCTTGTTCACACACGCCTCAACCTCTTCCTCAGTGAACTTCTTTTCTACTTCTACGTTCCCAACGTCTGCCTTCAATGTCTCTTCTTCTTTCTGGGCCCATGCGTCCACCTCCTTCGTTAACACTTGGTCAAAATCTTCATTCTCCGAAGGCACTCCAAGTCTCTTGTAGTGTCCTGCTAGAACTTCCCTTTTTCCCTTCCCACTGCTGACTAGTCCACCGTTCACACCTCGCAAAGTTGCTACCCCTATATCCCCCCCTTGCGCGGTCTTTTTTACCATCCCACTAATCCCTTCCCACATCTGCTTGGCGTTCCCCTCCAGGCCTCCGTTGGCCTTCTGCACTACTTCGTCCCAAATGCACTTTTTCTTTTCACTAATAAAAAATCAACTGTTTCCTCTTGGCCCTGCACTTTTCCCAACTCTCCTCAGACCCCTCACTCAGGTACTGCTTGAAGACTGCTCTACGTTCCCCTATTTCTTACTTCAGCTCGTCATCCCACCACTTACCCGATACCCCACATCGTACCACCTTCTTTCCCACTACTCTCTCTGCCGTTGTGTTCACTATGGGCTCCCATCCTCCAATCACCCTGTCCCCTGCTGCTTGTACGTCTACCTGTCCGTCTTCGACGCTTCTCAGCAGTTTCCTGAAGGGTTCTACACTACCAGCCAGTCCCTTCTGGAATTCATCCCGTGTCCCCTCGTCTCCCAAACGCTCTACTTTCCACCGGAACACTTTCCTCTGTTTCTTACTCTCCGTCTTTCTAGATCGGTCGATGTTTGCCCATATGAGGAAATGGTCAATCGAACCTATATCTATCACACTTACGTGCAGCTCTGGGATCTGTGTGTTCCCCCTATCTACCAGGATGTAGTCGAGGATCAAGTATTCATTGCAAACTGTCCTTTGCCTGGGGGGTGGGGGTGGGGGGGTTGTTATCTACCGTATATGGTGTTCCAACTAAATAG